ACATGAGGGATCCATCGAGTCAGCACTTTCCTGTGGCGAGGGCGTGGAGGGGACCGAGGACTGTGGGATGGGTGCACCCGAGTCTTATCACAAGGCTGCGGGTGCTAACCTCCGGATCCTCTTCGACAGCGCCGAGAACGGTGGAGTCTTCCACTGTTTGGGGCTTCCCAACCTTGTCTTGTCTTCGAAAGCCGTGTCTCCTCCTTCGAAGCCTGCGAACCAGAGCTTGGCACTGATGATGGAAGTGGTGTCCCTTCCCAATGCGATGCTGATAATGTTGACGGTTTCCACTGCTCCTGTGCCGCAGCGCCATTCATTGAAGATGATCGCTCGAAAGTGCTCTTGTGGAATCGACATCATGATTAAAGTTAAAGAAGGCAACCCGGCTATATATACCTATTGCGGAGAAGTATGATCGACAGCGATATCTGCCACGTCGCAGATGGTGGGTATCAATAATACAGGGGTGGCCAAAAAAGAGACACTTCACTCCACATTTCAGACAGCATTAATCACACTTTGCTAAATCAAATCGACTGCCCCCAACTCAGTATTGAAGAGCACCTTCTAATCTATCTAAACCTTACACGACAGCCTTCTACACCGACGACATCAGAAGATTTTCCCGCGGAACTATAGTGAGAGCTCTACGGCGTAATATTCCTTAGGTGTTCCCCCGTAAGCAGAAGCAGGCCCTCCTTCACTGCCCCGCCGTCTTCAGAATATGACGTCATCTGCCGTCACCGTCGAGCTCAACGAGGCTTACCGTAATCGCTCCGGCCTGAAGCTGCTACATAATTTCTTCAATGGATTAACTGTGAATAGCTTCCCAGAGACATTAGCTGTGACTATGCAAAACCTTTTGACCAGCGTTTCAGGGACGTCGTAATGGTCTATGGTACCTCGACGACCTCGTTGAGCTCGTACCGTGAACCATGTTTCCGTGGGAAAATCTTCTGATGTCGTCGGTGTAGAAGGCTGTCGTTTAGATAGATTAGAATGTGCTCTTCAATACTAAGTTGGGGGCAGTCGATTTGATTCTAGCAAAGTGTGATTAATGCTGTCTGAAATGTGGAGTCAAGTGTCTTTTTTTTTGGCCTTCCCT